CTCCATCCCAGTCTCAAATCTCTGGAATACTAAAACAGGTTTCCCTCAAGAATTTCCCTGTATTTAGCGCCATCCATCCTTCCTTCAATTCTGACCAGTTTCCCAGTCCCTGTCGATGAAAAACATCCCAACAGCATGATGCTGCCACCACCATGCTTCACTGTGGGGATAGTGTTCTCGGGGGGATGAGAGGTGTTGGGTTTGCGCCAGACATAGCGTTTTCCTTGATGGCCAAAAAGCTCAATTTTAGTCTCATCTGACCAGAGTACCTTCTTCCATATGTTTGGGGAGTCTCCCACATGCCTTTTGGCGAACACCAAACGTGTTTGCTTCTTTTTTTCTTTAAGCAATGGCTTTTTTCTGGCCACTCTTCCATAAACCCAGCTCTGTGGATTGTACGGCTTAAAGTGGTCCTATGGACAGATACTCCAATCTCTGCTGTGGAGCTTTGCAGCTCCTTCAGGGTTATCTTTGGTCTCTTTGTTGCCTCTCTGATTAATGCCCTCCTTGCCTGATCCGTGAGTTTTGGTGGGCGGCCTTCTCTTGGCAGGTTTGTTGTGGTGCCATATTCGTACAATTTTTTTATAATGGATTTAATGGTGCTCCGTGGGATGTTCAAAGTTTCAGATATTTTTTTATAACCCTGATCTGTACTTCTCCACAACATTGTCGCTGACCTGTTTGGAGAGCTCCTTGGTCTTCATGGTGCCGCTTGCTTGGTGGTGCCCCTTGCTTAGTGGTGTTGCAGACTCTGGGGCCTTTCAGAACAGGTGTATATATACTGAGATCATGTGACCGATCATGTGACACTTAGATTGCACACAGGTGGACTTTATTTAACTACTTATGTGACTTCTGAAGGTAATTGGTTGCACCAGATCTTATTTAGGGGCTTCATAGCAAAGGGGTGAATACATATCCACGCACCACTTTTCCGTTATTTATTTTATTGCATTATTTTCAACAAGTAATTTTTTTCATTTCACTTCACCAATTTCGACTATTTTGTGTATGTCAATTATATGAAATCCAAATAAAAATCCATTTAAATTACAGGTTGTAATGCAACAAAATAGGAAAAACGCCAAGGGGGATGAATACTTTTCAAGGCACTGTACAATTTGTGAATCCTGTCTTGATGACTGTATGAGCTTTACAATACCTTTCCTATAGATTTTTGTAGTCTTAAATTATTACTTGGAATAATGATAGCTAAAGCTCCCTGTCCCGGAATGACATGCTAGTGATAAAGCCACAGATAGAACAATGAGACTGATATTTCACCGAATGTATAAATGTGAAAGATCCGCTTGGCGTTTCCACTCACTACTAAATATGGTAGTGAGAGGAAGCCGAGTGGCCAGCAGTGGGAGAAGATGGAAGGAGATGGATTTTGGCCGACATTCTGCAACTTCTCATCCATTAACCATTTCATCTCAATTCAGTTTTCTGTTCCCAAAAGTAGAATATGTTATGAACAGAGTGGACTAAGTTTTGTAGACTTTATCCTTTGCCAAAGTTTTAAAATATTGCGTTGTTTGGAAGGTGTTTAAAGGCTAAATGGGTTATTGCACACGCGCACTTCACAGAGTAGGTGTTCCCTAATGGAAATATGCAGATGTATGCTAGAATGGGCCAATAGGATCTCGCTAGCTTGTGCTTGGTTCTGCCCACCTCTTTGCTTGTTCTGCCCACTATGACTAATTTGTTCCCATTGGAAGGACAGGCTGTGGTCTATCTTGGTTTAGTTTCAAAAATCTTTGATAAAGCTATCTGCTCCTGCTAGCAAGCTACAGGTATAGGCTACTTGTTGTAGCTAGCTAGCTAGCTATGTTGCTAAGGTTGCTGCGTTCTAAGTTGGGAGTTATTTTATAGCTTGCATTGATGGTATCATGTTCCTATAACTAAATAGATTACAAATATAAACAATTCTTTAACCCATAGCAGTTTGTCGGACTGAGATCTCTCTTGAGCTGTCACAACTGTGTTTAGTAGCTTAGAAAGGAGAACGTGATTTGCAGATGTGATCAGCAGAGATGGTATCTGGATAGTAACGTTACACAAGTTTTGATTGGTTTGCTGTTTAGTACTTGGCAGCTTTTGCCTGTCCAGCTGAGAAGGGTGCAACCCACAAATCGGGGCGTTCCTGCATGTGGGCATTCCTGCATCTGCAGGAACCCCTCTTTATACTTTCTATTGGTCCATTTGTAAGCTGACTCCAGTACATAGGCAGGAGGCATGGGTGCTCCAGTACAGTAGGTGGCGGTAATGTACCATAATGTTGGACGCCAACCACCGATAAACCCTGAGATGCAGTGCCTTAGACTGCTGTGCCACTCGGGAGCCCGAGTGCTAGTGAGCTAAAGGACTGCATATTCATCAACACTGCACATGAATCAGAGCAAATAACTACTCTGTCTGGCTTGATTTTTTTCCCCCACTCAAGGCCAACAGTATGGCCATCCTCCCCTCCCTATCTTTCCGTAGTCCCTCCAACACTTCTAGATCAACTACTGGAGGCAGGGGTAGCCATGGTGGATTTACAGGAATAGCTACCGTTGGACTGAACTCTATTCCATACAGTCCCATCTCCCTCGCCTGGGTATTACCCACCCACCCAAAGCTTGTGTTCTGTCCTCACTCATCTTCCCAGCATGCCTGTGAAATCCCTTTCGCAGGATGAGACACGCCATGTCCCTGTAGGTTGACCCAATAATTCATTACCAGCTGCTGTCTCCTAATCTGCAATGACATATCCCTCATCTCCACCTGTAGTGGAGCCACTGGGGAGGGCTGAAATGCCCCACTACATATTCTGAGTCCTTGCCGCTGTATGAGCCTTTCCAATAAGGTCCGGGCTGCGGAACCATATGCTATACTGCCATTGTCTATTACAGATTGGATCAATGCAACATACATGGTTCTCAATGAGGAACGCCCAGCCCCCCACTCCTTCCCCGTCAGACAGCGCATCACATTTAGCACCTTCTTCCACTTTCCCACCACTCTCTCAGTGTGTTCTGCTCAGATCAGCCTAGTATCAAAGTATACCCCAAGGAACCTGAAGGCCCACACCCTCTCCAAGACCTCAAGCATACCTCATCTCCTACCTTCCTCCTGGTAAAGAACACTGTATGTGTTTTCTCTACAGAGACCTGAATCCCCACATTAATGCCCACCACTCTACCTCATCAATTGCTTCCCGTACCTTCCTGACTATGTATGGCACATTTCTTCCCCTCTTCCATTAGGCCCAATCATCTGCAAATAACGACCTCCCAATATCCGGCCGTACCTGAGAGTAAACATTAATGATCATGATTGAGAACAACTGAGGACTAATCACGCTCCCCTGCAGTGTACCGTTATCCACCAGGTAGCTTCCTGATAAGAGACTTCCCCACACTCACCTGGATAGACCTTCCAAACAGGAAATCCTTTATCCAGTTGTACGTTCTTCCTCCAACCCCCATAATATCAAGCTTGATTAACAACCCCTCCTTCCACATCATATCATACGCCTTCTCCACATAAAACCCCCCCAGCTACAACAGTCTCCTTCCTGACCTCTGCTTCTAAGCAGAGCGCTGGGTCCATAGTTCCCTTCCTGAACCCACTCTGATGTGGCGATACTAGCCCCCTGCTCTCCAGGAAGTAAGTTAGCCTCTCCGTAATCATACGTTCCATAATCTTACATACATGTGATATTAAAGCAATTGGCCGATAGCTTGTTGGCCTTGTTGGGTCCTTCCCTGGCTTCCAGATTGGTACCCCTACTGCCTCCTTCCAGCTGCCTGGTAGTTTCCCCTCCTCCCACACTGTGTTGTACAACACCAATACCTTATCCAGTGCCTCATCACTAAGATTGGCCAACATAACATAGCACACCTCATCTTTCTCAGGTGAAGTTAACCTAGCCTTACTTATTGCCCTTTTCATCTCTGCCATGGTAAATGGTGCATTCAACGCATCATTTACATCCTCCCTCCTATCCAGCACTCCAGGGTGTTCCTCTCTCATTCTCTCTCTCCCCCTCTGCCTCTCCTCTGACAAATTTGCCGAGCTATGCACTTGGACAAACGCTTTGGGCATCATCTCTGCCTTCTCCTCATCTGTTACTGCCGCATCCTCCCTACTCGTCAACACTGGATAATCCCACTCCCTTCTGACCCCACTCATCCTCTTAATCATCCCCCACACTTCTCCCACAGATGTCGCCCTTCCAATGGTGTCACAGAACCGACGCCAACGTGACCTCTTTGCCTGATGGATAGTTCTCCTCACCAGGGCCTGGGCCTGCTTATACTGAATCACATGTTGGAAGTTATGCATCCTTTTCAGTCCTCTAAATGCCCTGTTCCTACTCCTCACCATTGCCCCGTTCCTACTCCTCACCATTGCCCCACACTCCTTCGTCCACCATGGGACTGCTTTCCTCCTCCTCCCTGAACTGTTAGGTATAGCCTCAGTAGCTGCCCTCACTAAAGCTGTTCTCACCCAGTTATTCATACTATCCACATCGCCTCTCATATCCACCCGAGCCATCACCTGCTCACTCAGTTACTGAAACTGATCCCACTTTGCCCTCCCAAACACCCACCTGTCTACTCCATCCACTGACACCTCCTCCCTCCAGCCTACTGTGCATACTATGGGGACCGCATTCAAAAGTGTCAGACAAACATAAAGATGTCATGCTCAAGGGGGGCTGTTCATGCAGAAACCAATGGGGTGCTGGGGGGAAGGGGTGTTGTTCCTGCAGATAAAGGAATGCCCACATGCAGGAACGCCCCTAATTGCGGGCTGCAGTTGCACACTATTGGTCCACCTAGCGAACATAAAAGTATTTTGAAAAAATGGCCAAAAATTGACATTGCCAACAAACGAAAATGTGTTCAGAAGAAATAAATATACACAATATGTCAAAACCAGCTCCTCCCTCGCCAGGGACCGATCATCTCGAAAACTAAAGCAAATAAGATGCGTCGGCCCACAAACAATGTGGTTTCGGGTTGATCCGAGTCTTTTGGCTGTGTGTCAGGCTGTCTGCCTACTGTATTGTACTGTGAGAAGGCAGGCAGATAGGGGGCACCTCAGCAAAATCTCCCGCTCAACTTCACATTCAACCCCCCTACGAACTTACCTTCTAATTTCAACGCGTTTTAAAACCGACCACAGGACTTAAACATCTGATCGCTTTATTTATTGATTCTATTTTCGGTTAGTTTATGGTTTGTGTTTTTACACTCCGGGAGGGCAGAAATGGCCGCCAACATGTACCGGGTCGGAGGTATGTCACATTGTTTTTTGATATAGTCGAAACATGCTAATTTTATATCAATGCAGCGAATGTGTGTTACATTATCTTATATATACACCTATAGTGTCATTTCTGATATTATACATGTAAACGCGTGCTGTCATTTACCAGAGAAACGCACGGATTTCCAAATATTTGGGATTCTAATGGGTCAGGCCTCGCGACTATCGTGGCCATACCAGTTAGCTAGCATGCTACACCATAAACATTTACAATTTTTTACTTATTTTCACGTTATATCCCATTTAATCCACACATGCACGGCATGTTTTGATGTGTGCGTGTTTGATTGACTTTATTGTTGTTTGGAAAAGGTCCTTTGTATTTGGCTCCTTTTTGGCACGCATCCATGTATTACGGCTCCTTCTTGCGTTAGCTACCAGCTAGCTAACTACCCCCCTGGCTAGAAGGGCATGCTTTGTTGCCAATGCAATGAATTATCTTAACCGTTATAATAACGCTCTATTGTTTGACAGTGTGAAGGGAATGGCCCATACATCTGTATTTGGTAGTTTTACTGTTGCTCATATTCAATGAGCTACCTAACTAGCTATGTGGTTAGCTTTACCAGGTTAGCCACCTAACAGTTAGATAGCTGTTGATGGCATCCGACATTGTCTCATGATGGCGTCGCGTGAATGAATCTTTCACGTTTGTGAGGATAGCCAGTAGCTAGCTACTGTGTTATGATAATTATCCCACAACATCTGGGCAACAAAGTCGGCGGTAAAGGATATTGTCTTGCATGTATGATAACGTTATATGTACACACTGCTGGGTGAAAAGATTATCTGGCAACAATGTAACGATGCTTTTTTTCTACTTGGCTACAGAATATCGGAATGTGTCACGTGATGTTTGATTTGTTGTCATCTTGGAGTGTTTTCCACTTGATGTCACTGCTGTGTATTTGCATTGCATCAATATTATAATATACTGTATGATATTATTGCTATGATATTATATCTACTGAGTTAATGTGTAATCTGCCTATGGGTGAAAGTGGTTGTCTGTGTATCGCCTGTCTTTCTGAGTAGAGATGTGAAATGTGTGTGTGTGTGTGTGTGTGTGTAGTACGGTAGCAAACCTATTTGATGATGGTTGACAGGCATCTATAGGTAGAGGTACCACTCAGACCTGATTGACTTGTTTAACTTTGACCTGAACCACCAACCCTCAGAAATAATTTGTGTGTACCCTGGCTCCCAGCTTTTGACTACTGCAGCCTCTACCAAGGGTTCTGGATCTTTATGGCACAGACAACATACAGTGGCCTGGCCCCTTAACTGCAGGGTCACTGGTTTAAGCCCCATTAGGGGTGTTGAATTAGGTGTTAGAACAGGGCTGGAATAAAAGCCTGCACACCCAGTAGTTGTAATGGAGTAGGTTATATGGCAGGCCGTGTGTTAATGTGATGTTATTATGTTCTCTTCCAGACTATGTATTCTTTGAGAATTCCTCCAGCAACCCTTACCTGATCCGCCGTATAGAAGAACTCAACAAGGTACTGCCCGCCCTGGAGTGTGTGTGTGTGTGTGTGTGTGTGTGTGTGTACATACGTAATTAAAGTACTCTGGCTGATGTGCCTGAGGAGGGAATAGGTGGAATGCCTGTCTGTTTTGTGACTTTCCCTCTCCTCACCTGCGCTAGTGTGTGTGTGCATGTGAGATTGTGTGTTTAATATGATCCATAGCGACAGATGTTACCTGCCTAAAACTGTCATTTTCAACCGGCAGGTGAGAATGGGCACACTTCCTCCCTTCCCCCTCACTCTCCATCCGTACTAGGGATGTGACCAATGGAAACAATTTCTTAACATTTAGACTGCCATTTTTGTATCGGTTTTCCGATAAAACAATAAGAAAATTAATAAAGTTCCACATTAATTCACAATGCAGATGGTCTACATCGCGCATCCCGCGGAGAGACACATTTATAATTTACGCTGCTGGTGCTCTTGCTTTTCATGAGAGTGGCGTGTGTAGCTTGTTGTTATCGTCCAATCACAAGTCATCAAACTGGCACTAGGCTACAGTCAAGGAGCCTCCGTGTGGCTAGTTATTAGGAGATATCTAGGCTCATCAATGGAAGATGGAATTAAAATTACTGAACTAAAAGTTAAATGAGAAGGACGGGCTACACCACCAAGAGCCAACAGGTAGGCTGCTATTTAATAATCTGAGTGGAGTTGTTATTTACTGTAGGATTAGGAAGAGGACAAAGCGCACAGTTCAAGTTACAATATGTAGTCTCAATTAACCTACCTAACGTTAGCTAGCTGAACTACCGTCTCTCCGTTTGATGCAGTCAATACATGTACTATGTAATCAGATGAGATGATACAGTGGGGGAAAAAAGTATTTAGTCAGCCACCAAGTGTGCAAGTTCTCCCACTTAAAAAGATGAGAGGCCTGTAATTTTCATCATAGGTACACGTCAACTATGACAGACAAAATGAGAATTTTTTTTCCAGACAATCACATTGTAGGATTTTTAATGAATTTATTTGCAAATTATGGTGGAAAATAAGTATTTGGTCAATAACAAACGTTTCTCAATACTTTTATATACCCTTTGTTGGCAATGACACAGGTCAAACGTTTTCTGTAAGTCTTCACAAGGTTTTCACACACTTGCTGGTATTTTGGCCCATTCCTCCATGCAGATCTCCTCTAGAGCAGTGACGTTTTGGGGCTGTCGCTGGCAACACGGACTTTCAACTCCCTCCAAAGATTTTCTATGGGGTTGAGATCTGGAGACTGGCTAGGCCACTCCAGGACCTTGAAATGCTTCTTACGAAGCCACTCCTTCGTTGCCCGGGCGGTGTGTTTGGGATCATTGTCATGCTGAAAGACCCAGCCACGTTTCATCTTTAATGCCCTTGCTGATGGAAGGAGGTTTTCACTCAAAATCTCACGATACATGGCCCCATTCATTCTTTCCTTTACACGGATCAGTCGTCCTGGTCCCTTTGCAGAAAAACAGCCCCAGAGCATGATGTTTCCACCCCCATGCTTCACAGTAGGTATGGTGTTCTTTGGATGCAACTGAGCATTCTTTGTCCTCCAAACACGACGAGTTGAGTTTTTACCAAAAAGTTCTGTTTTGGTTTCATCTGACCATATGACATTCTCCCAATCCTCTTCTGGATCATCCAAATGCACTCTAGCAAACTTCAGACGGGCCTGGACATGTACTGGCTTAAGCAGGGGGGACACGTCTGGCACTGCAGGATTTGAGTCCCTGGTGGCGTAGTGTGTTACTGATGGTAGGCTTTGTTACTTTGGTCCCAGCTCTCTGCAGGTCATTCACTAGGTCCCCCCGTGTGGTTCTGGGATTTTTGCTCACCGTTCTTGTGATCATTTTGACCCCACGGGGTGAGATCTTGCGTGGAGCCCCAGATCGAGGGAGATTATCAGTGGTCTTGTATGTCTTCCATTTCCTAATAATTGCTCCCACAGTTGATTTCTTCAAACCAAGCTGCTTACCTATTGCAGATTCAGTCTTCCCAGCCTGGTGCAGGTCTACAATTTTGTTTCTGGTGTCCTTTGACAGCTCTTTGGTCTTGGCCATAGTGGAGTTTGGAGTGTGACTGTTTGAGGTTGTGGACAGGTGTCTTTTATAAGTTCAAACAGGTGCCATTAATACAGGTAACGAGTGGAGGACAGAGGAGCCTCTTAAAGAAGAAGTTACAGGTCTGTGAGAGCCAGAAATCTTGCTTGTTTGTTGGTGACCAAATACTTATTTTCCACCATAATTTGCAAATAAATTCATTAAAAATCCTACAATGTGATTTTCTGGATTTTTTCCCCCTCAATTTGTCTGTCATAGTTGACGTGTACCGATTATGAAAATTACAGGCCTCTCATCTTTTTAAGTGGGAGAACTTGCACAATTGGTGGCTGACTAAATACTTTTTTCCCCCACTGTAAATAACTGGCATTAAGTTAGTCTACCAGCGCGAGTCAATTTGTTTGCAATCTCTCTCCTGCTCCCCTCGTCACTCACATTTGAGCTGCTGCTCTGCTTCAAGCCTCTCGCTCTACCTCGTGCATTACAGCTCCCGTTAATAAAGTAGCAATTTTTTTTTTGATTTTGTTCTCCTACTAACGTCACAGCATTGTTGCATTGGGTATTTGTACTTTTTTTTTCTTTTTCTGATGATGATCGGGACCTGTTAGTGGTAGTTTTGTGATAACTGCAAAGTGATTTTAATTTGTGAAGGGGAAAAAAGTTTTTTTTTTTGTTTGTCTTGACTGCATCAAACGGAGAGACGCCAGTTCAGCTAGCTACCGTTAGGTAGGCTAATTGAGACTACATATTGTAACTTGAACTGTGCGCTTTGTCCACTTCCTAATCCTACAGTAGATAACAACTCCATTCAGATTATTAAATAGCAGCCTACCTGTTGGCTCTTGGTGGTGTAGCCCGTCCTTCTCATTTAACTTTTAGTTCACTAATTTTAATTCCATCTTCCATTGATGAGCCTAGATATCTCCTAATAACTAGCCACACGGAGGCTCCATGACTGTAGCCTAATGCCGGTTTTATGTTCTTAATGTTAAGGCTCCCAATTTCTTTTTAAAGTTCACACACCTAATCCGTACCTCCCTCCCGCTCTCCTCCATGCTTTTCCTCCAGTGTGTTTAATCTCAAGAGGAGACAAAACATCTGTCTGACCAATCAGGCAATCAATCAATGTATAGTATCTTTTTTGTATAATGTATGTAAACCTTGTGTAAATTCCTCTGTCTGTTTCTGTCTCTATATATTGTCTATTGCTAGTTGCACCATATCACCAAGTAAAATTCTGGGTATGTGTAAATGTACTTAGCAAATAAATGATTTTTCAGTCAGTGTCCTGGATATTGGGCCTCAGACGTGTTACAAGTCTCAGACGTGTTACTTAGTCCCCGCCCCTCTCTCTCAGTTCAATTCAAGACTGTTTTTAAAGTGTTAACTCTCTCTCCCCCTCCCATAGATAGCCAGTGGTAATGTGGAGGAGTATTATTTAATTGTGATAAATCTGTGTTCTAAGATTTTCCTTCACCTCTCTCTCCCTTCAGACGGCCAGTGGCAATGTGGAGGCCAAGGTGGTGTGTTTCTACAGAAGGAGAGACATCTCACACAGCCTCATACAGTTGGCTGACAAACATGCAAGTAAGTGGCTCTGTGTGTGTGGGTCAGTCTGTCCGTCCGTCCGTATGTGTGCTTTTGTGTATTAGTGTAACACTAGGCGGTAGCTGAATGTCTGGAGAGTTTCCAGAGCCATACAGCAGGGGTCCAGGCTCAGACGGTCATGTTTAATGTGTGTGTATGTGCAGAGGACCTAGAGGAGGATAAAGAGGAGGAGAAAGAGAGTCCGTTGGAGGCGGAGCTGACCGACAAACAGAAACACCAGTTACGCCACAGAGAACTGTTCCTCTCCCGCCAGTATGAGAGTCTACCAGCCACACATATCAGGTACCCCCCCCCCCCCCCCCCCCCCCGTAAGAGGCAGTATGCCTGGATGTTAACACAGACAACCATGCTCATTTTCTCTCCTTTCACTCCCCAACTCTTTGTCTCACCCCTCGCCGTCTCTCTGCTCTTTCTCAGGGGGAAGTGTAGTGTGGCATTGTTGAATGAGACTGAAGCTGTCCTCTCCTACCTGGACAAAGAGGTAAGGGGGCTTGTGTGTGTGCACCATACATCCACACCTGCCATTTAAAATGCCTCCCATGCCATTCTAATGTGTCAGCTTTGTGTGTGTATATATTGTAAAACGTGTGTGTGTTTTACGTAGGATACGTTCTTCTACTCGCTGGTCTACGACCCAACCCAAAAGACACTGTTGGCTGATAAGGGAGAGATCAGAGTGGGACCACGCTTTCAGGCCGACGTACCTGACATGCTACAGGAGGGTAGGCACACACCTACACACAGACATACTTACCATACGTTCTTCACACACACACATACACACACTCACACCCTCTGACTGTATGTATCTCTTTGTAGTGGAATCAGATGAGTGGGACCAGTCAAAGTTAGAGGAGAAGCTTTGGGATCCTGACTGTCCTCTCTCCAGCAAACAGATTGACCAGTTCCTGGTGGTCGCACGGTACGACATTTAACCTCTAACCCCTGACCTCTCAGTTCCTGTTGGTGGTACCTAAGACCCCTGACCTCAAAACTGTGTGTGTGTAGGGCGGTGGGGACGTTTGCCAGAGCGCTGGACTGTAGCAGCTCGGTCAGACAGCCCAGTCTACATACGAGTGCAGCCGCCGCCTCACGAGACATCACACTGGTGAGAGACACACACACACACACCATTTTTGAATTGTCCTGAGTTTGACTGTTCGTCTACGGATGTAACCTTCTTGAACGTCCACGGATAAACTCTACAATATTCTCTCTGCCTATTCTAGTTCCATGCGATGGACACGCTGCATCGTCATGGTTACGACCTGTCCAGTGCGTTGAGTGTGTTGGTGCCGTCCGGTGGGCCGGTGCTGTGTCGAGACGAGATGGAGGAGTGGAGCGCCTCGGAGGCAGCCATGTTTGAAGAGGCTCTGGAGAAATACGGAAAGGACTTCAACGACATAAGACAAGACTTTGTAAGTCTCAGTGTGTGTGTGGAGGGCAGGTGCTCATGAATAGCCAAACATGTTTGATTGCCTGTGTATATAGTAAACTGTGTGTGTGTGTGTGTGTGTTTGCGTCTGACATGTTGGGTTCAGAATAACCCTGGTCAGCCTGCTCATCAATATTCATGAGGGATCTGACACACAGACGTCAAACACATGAAAGTTATTAATACTTTTCCCTCTCTTTAGCTACCGTGGAAGTCTTTGACCAGTATAATAGAGTATTATTACATGTGGAAGACAACAGACAGATACGTACAGCAGGTAAGTCTCAGTATCTCTACACCACTCCTGCTAACTAGCTAGCTTGCTTAGCTGTTAGCAGCATCCAGTGCCAAGCTATCCTCTGGTCTTTCCTTGGCTTGCAGTCTAACTCTCCTCTCTGTGTTTCTCTCCGAGCAGAAGAGACTGAAGGCAGCAGAAGCAGAAAGCAAACTGAAGCAGGTTTACATCCCCACATAGTAAGTGTGTGTGTGTTTGATTGAGTGTGTGTTAGTGTTGATGCACAATGTCCATATACACTACATTACCAAAGGTATGTGGACAACTTCTTGTTGAACATCTCATTCCAAAATCATGGCCATTAATATGGAGTTGGTCCCCCTCTTTGCTGCTATAACAGCCTCAACTCTTCTGGGAAGGCTTTCCACTAGATGTTGAAACATTGCTGCGGGGACTTGCTTCCATTCAGCCACAAGAGCATTAGTGAGGTTGGGCGATTAGGCCTGGCTGGCAGTCTGTGTTCCAATTCATCCCAAAGGTGTTCGATGCGGTTGAGGTCAGGGCTCTGTGCAGGCCAGTCAAGTTCTTCCACATCGATCTCGACAAACCATTTCTGTATGGACCTCGTTGGTGCACGGGGGCATTGTCATGCTGAAACAGGAAAGGGCCTTCCCCAAACTGTTGCCACAAAGTTGGAAGCACAGAATTGTCTAGAATGTCATTGTATACTGCAGCCTTAAGATTTCCCTTCACTGTAACTAAGGGACCATTTTTCCTCCTCCACCAAACTTTACAGTTGGCACTATGCATTGGGGCAGATGTGTTCTCCTGGCATCCGCCAAACTCAGATTAGTCTGTCGGACTGCCAGATGGTGAACCGTGATTCATCACTCCAGAGAACGCATTTCCACTGCTCCAGAGTCCAATGGTGGCGAACATTACACCACTCCAGCCGACGCTTGGCATTGCGCATGGTGATCTTAGGCTTGTGTGCGGCTGCTCGGCCATGGGAACACATTTCATGAAGCTTCCAACGAACAGTTCTTGTGCTGACGTTTCTTCCAGAGGCAGTTTGGAACTCGGTAGTGAGTGTTGCAACCGACGACAGACTATTTTTACGCGCTTCAGCACTCGGCGGTCCCGTTCTGTGAGCTTGTGTGGCCTACCACTTTGCGGCTGAGCCGTTGTTGCTCCTAGACGTTTCCACTTAACAATAACAGCACTTACAGTTGACCGGGGCAGCTCTAGCAGGGAAGAAATTAGATGAACTGACTTGTTGGAAAGGTGCCATCCTATAACGGTGCCACATTGAAAGTCACTGAGCTCTTCAGGACGGGCCATTCTACTGCCAATGTTTGTCTATAGAGATTGCATGGCTGTGTGCTCGATTGTATACCCCTGTCAGCAACGGGTGTGGCTGAAATAGCCGAATCCACTAATTTGAAGGGGTGTCCACATACTTTTGTGTGTATATATAGTGTATGTGTATCTTCAGCTGTTACATAGGATTCAGATTGTAAGCTTTGTTGTGTATCTACCTCGTTTCGCAGCAATAAGCCCAACCCTAACCAGCTCTCAGTGACCAATGGGAAGATGGCAATGGTGAATGGGGCGGGGCCTGGAGCCTACCATGCAGCGGGGGGAGGACGGGCCTGCGAGAGCTGCTACTGTAAGTACACCTTCCTCCCTTTATCCAGCCATCCAGCTCTCCATCCCTCATGGGAGACTGATGAACAGTGTTTAAGAGGAAACCTTATTGATGGACTGTTAGATACTGATTATGCTTATTGATTATGCATTGATAAGGTGTATGAGTCTTTATGTATGTGTGTGTACAGCGATGCAATCAGCCCAGTGGTACTCGTGGGGGCCGCCCAACATGCAATGTCGCCTGTGTGTGTCGTGCTGGATGTACTGGAAGAAGTACGGTGGCCTTAAGATGCCAAGCAGAGCGGAGGCGCCCGAGGAGAAGACCCCACCCAGTCCTTTGCCCAACGTAAGACCTCACCTTTAACTACCCCACACCTCCCCTTTAACATTGTTCCCCACTCAACATAAAACCAAATTCTGCTTATTCAATGTTACTGAACGTTCAGATATGGATATATCATGTAGAACAGTTGTTCTTCTTGGTCATGGACAACAGGTATTCATGTGAGCCTTTTCTCCTTCTCTAGGAGCCTCGGTCGCGTGGCCACGGCCCCCGCCAGTCCAGTCACATGGTGCCGGTGCGTAACAGCGGCAGCCCCAAGTCCTCCACGAAGACCAAGCAGGCCTTCTTGCTGCAGGCCTCCCGCCTCACCAAGCTGGCACGCCACATGTGCCGCGACATCATCAGACTTCGACGCGCTGCGCGGCGCCCATTTGTGCCCATTAACTGTGGCGCCATAAAGGCAGAGTGTAAGAGCTCCTTCAATTCCTAACTTCTGCCTCATGACACACCCATACATGGACACACACGCACGAACACACACTCGTACACACACACTGCCCCCTCCTTCACCTTGACACCCCCCTTTCACCCATCCCCCCCACCTCGCTGCCCCCCCCTCCCACGTCTGTCTCTCTCTCTGTTTTTGTTATATTGTATTATATTATTATTATTTTGGTTTTGTATTCTCCCCGGTTTCAATAAAGACTGCCTGTCCTCATGACTTTTGTGTTTCATCATCTGTTGGTTTGTCTGTTTTGGTTTGTTTTTAAGTCACTGTATCAACTGAACAGCCATTATAGCCGTTTGAAATCCATACAAGCACACACTCTTCTCCAAACATTTTTCAGAAAAAGTAATTTTCTATACATGCCCACCCATACACAAACATAGATGCATATAATTTATGCTTGTCCTATTTTCCAGGCCAAAGTATATGATAGTTGTAGAATGTATGCATATATTTAAGGTTAGTTAGAAGTATATTTTAATAAGAAAAGCTCTATTTTGCGCAGCACATTGCGTGTTACATTAATGAGCCTTTGTATGTGTGCTTTTCTGCGTGTATAGGTGCTTTTTCTGCAAGTAATTGTGTGTATGAGTGATCGCTGTGATTGCTTGAGAGCGGTTTGATTAGCTAGAGCTCATCTGACAACACGGAGGAAGATAATGAGGAATGGACATAAGGGAGAGGAGGGAAAGGAAGGTAGAGGGAGGAGGGGAACAGAAGTAAAAAGTAGTGGCTTCTATGAAGATAATGATGATGATGGTAATCAGCCCTCCATTCTCTGCTTTTCTTTCTGAGTTTGAAGCTTGTTTATTATTTACTATTTCTGTGTTGCCATGTCAACCCACTCCTGCTCCCATTCTGTCCTGTAAGCAACTCTTACGTGCCCATATCAGGACCTTCCTCTGTCCCAGTCATATGGACTCATCTCTATTTCTCCTACCTTGTCTTGTTCTTCTCTCTTCCACTCCCTCTGTCTCTATCTCTTCCTCTATCCATCTCTCTCTCTGTGAATGTGACAGTGGTAACTAATAAAGTCACAGCTGAAACCATCCTCTCTGAGTCCTTGTGCTTCATGTGTCTATGTACCTGTCCATCACTACATCAAACATACCGATTGGCCAGAGGACCAGACAAGGCCTGCCCCTACAGCATGGACTCCGCCTCTCTGCCTGCTTCCATCACACCCCAGTCACACCCTCACCATGCTGTATATGCGTGTGTGTGCATGCATGTGAGCATGTATGTTTTAGTGTTTTTATTTTAGGTGTTGTGTTTTAACGTATATTCAGTTTGTGTGTGTGACAGAGAGAGCTCTGCTACTACATCTCCCCACAACCATCTTATTCAGTAAGTCGTCTATAAACACATCGTTTCAGTCTCATAAACTGACTGTTTTCAACTCAGACTGAAGCAAGATAGTTACAGTAGCAGATTAGTAGTTGCACAGCTATTTTTAGTGGGTTACAGTTCGTTTCGGAGCCTTCAGATAAATTCTGCGTTAGAGATTAAACAATACAAGAAAACTACACCGCATGCAACAGGCACCGGTAGATTAACCAAAATGTCTCAATATTCCTGAGTCTGACTGTGAATGACAGTACAGCTGCTTTGTTTGTCACTGGCGGTGTGATTGGTCAGTAGATGAGCTGCTGTTTGGTGATTGGTCTAGATATGTTGCGGGTGTCGGAGGGGCAAGTCGGGCGACCATCCAGAATCCGGACCACCCAGAGGAGCACCCTGACCAGCGTCCTGCAGTTCCTGGGTAACACACACACACCTACACCTACACACACACACACACACACAATACCTAAATAATGGAGCAAATACGTCCCACGACATGTTTCTATGACATGAGTAATCCACAAAGAATGACATTCTCCTATGACAACAAAAACATAAAATAATTAGTGATATGGGTATCAAATGTGTGATGTAATGTGTTCCAGAGTCCCGCCCCGCGATACACGCCCCCCGTTCTCACCGAACCCTCGGCTTACAAGCCCCCCCCCAACGCCGCCTCCTCTCTTCTCTCCCTTACGGTCCCCATGGCCTTCTGGGTAAACGCAGCTTCCACCACCACACCAGAGCAGAGCCGGAGAAACGCCCAGGTACACACACTCACACACACACCCACACACATACAGACACACACTTGCACACACACATACAATCACACACACACCAATTAATCTCTATCATGTTGTCTCCTGTGTCCTTCTGTAGAAAACCCAGGGCAGACAACGGAACCAGTTGTGAGTAACAGTCTTTCTTTTACTAAACACTTTACATACTGTAGATTGCGCTCCTACTTGACTACATTGCAGACGCATCCCAGATCTCAAAATACCTGGAAAGGTTTTAATATATCCGCTAACCACATCGTATGACATACCAATCTGCCCGACTGCTGCCCAGTTGATGACGTAGCACACAACTATTGGTTGATGATGCAATGCAACGTCTGCAATGTAGTCGGGCAGCAACTACATTCAAATACAGACTTCAAATACAGACATTTAAGGTTGACTCCGCAATATTGCATCATTTAACATGGCAGATTTTTCTTGGATGATTATGAGGTGCTTGTATATGATTGACATATTCTAATTGTTTGTGATTGGCTCTTCCCAGCACAACGGCCGTAGCAGTGGAGTCGGAGGGACCAGGGGCAGTGCTAGGGGCGGAGTCATGATTAGGAAGCGACGCCCAAACTTGATCGATGCCCCTGACGACAGCTTCTTCCTCGTCTCCCGGGAGACCAGGTAGGTGTGGCCTCTGATTGGCAGCTGGGCTGATGATGCGTTCGACTGTCTTATATGTGATTGCCGCGTGACGGCTGATTATGCCTGGGACTGACAGCTGATTGGGCTGAAGCAGCCATGTCCTAACAAGCTTCGACAACCATGACTCACCGAGCACAGAAATAGAATAATAGAGATGAGGACGTAGAAATGTAATGAATAAACAGGTCACAGCTGAGCGTTGAGATGCATCAGGAGTTGAGTCTGGGTCAAACTGGGTCAAATTGGACTATAGATGCACACTAAGAAATTAGGGTTCCTCAAGGGTTCTTTAGGAAGGGTGATGGTTCTATGTGGAACCATACTGACCCAAAACCATACTGACCCAAAGCACCCTTTGAGCTCTTCAAAGGTTCTTTGCAGTTCAAAAAAGGGTAATTTTTTTAGTGATAATTAAAATGTAGGGGTGGCGGCTCAATCAAATATTTTGGGGCGTGGTTTGCGCACAGCTCTTTTTGTGCAACCGTGAGTGAGTGTCATTCCAGTTGATCTAATCTGTTGTGTTATGCTATTACATTATATTATTATATCTGACTATGGCCAGTGATGGTGTCTTGTGAAAGACTTGCGTAAGACCTTGTGTCAGTTGAGAACGGTTGACTCAATTCTCTCCTCAGGGACCCCCAGCCGTTCCAGAGCTAGCAACCTGATTCAACTTGTTAATAAACACAATAATACAATTAATGCAATTTTAACAATTTAATATGGCTAATAAACCCTGCATGGTTCTACAAAAAACGTTGAGATTGAGAAAGGTTCTTTAAAGAACCATTCTCCATAAAGGTGTTCTATTTAGCCCCCAAAAGGGTTGTAACCATAGCGGAACCCTTTTTTGGTGCTATATACAACCTTTTTTAATTGTTCTTTATAGAATCTTAGGAAAGGGTTCTTTATAGCACCATCCAGGTTCCATTTAGAACCTTATGAGCATGGTTTTTTATAGAACCTTCAAAAAAAGGTTCCATGTACCACCAAAAAGGGTTCCGCTATGGTTACAAGCCAAAGAACCCTTAGTTGGCACTATATAGAACCATTTGGTTTTAGTGTGTGGTCTATGGATATTGTTTTGCTATGCATCAACTTGCTAGGTTAAGGGATAGTTAGTTTAACATCTTTTAATGGGGATCACAACTGTAGGGTACACAGGGCTGAGACTGAAGCCACTGCCAAGCTGATGAATGGGACTCCACAGGTAACCAAATAGGCTCATCTCATACAAAACACACTCACATAATGTTATCTCTCTTAATGTACACACACACACCTGGGCCCGTATTCAAAAAGTGTCTCAGAGTAGAAGTGCTGATCCAGGATCAGTTCCATATAATGTTATTACGACCTCAAATGCACCATCCTACACTCTAAGAAAAAAAGGCTTCCAAAAGGGTTCTTCGGCTGTCCCCATAGGATAAGCCTTTTGGATTTCATGTAGAACCGTCTGTGGAAAGGGTTCTACATGGAACCAAAAAGGGTTCTACCTGGAACCAAAAAGGGATATTCAAAGGGTTCTCCTATGGGGACAGCCAAAGAACCCTTTTAGGTTCTATATAGCACCTTTTTTTCTAAGAGTGTACATTAGCACTCCTACTCTGAGACTCTTTGGGAATACAGGTCCTGACCTCTCGTGCCCTGTTGCATCGTGGGTCGGCGTGTGTTTCCCTTCCTGTCAGTGACTGGCTGCTTGTTTCATTTCAGTGCTGCAGCCGTTACACACCTGCTCACGGTAAGCCCCCAACCCCGCACACACACACATGCACACCCACGTGCACACGCAAATGTAAGCACACACACACACATGTGACCTGGGTTACCTGTGGAGTCTGTTTCTCACTTGTGGATCGTACAGTCCAGTCAACTTGATAATGCACTCACACACAGTCCATGAAAAATGTCCACCCGCATCACCCCCCTTTTTCCCTGGATGAAGGGTTATTTTAGTCTAATTGTCTGATATTGACCAGGCTTCAGTGGAAATATTATTACTGCACCATTGGAGCATCCACTTACATGCCACTGTGTGCGTGTGTGTGTGTGTTTGTGTTTGTGTGTGTGCCAGAATACTTCCTCTTCCCAGAATCTCAGCTGTAATATGCTAATGAGTCTCATCTGATTGGCTGACACTAATTAGAACCAATTAGAGCTCAGATAGAGGTCAGGCTGGTGGTGTGTGTGCGCATTTGTGTTTGTGTGTGTGTGTGTGTGTGTGTAAGATTACATATGCCCAATGTTTCTAAACAGGTAGAGATTAGTCTCCCAAGGGTCGGCGGACAGGTTGTTTCCCATATTGAAAATGTTCCAACATACACGTCTGCACAGGTTCAAGCATAGGTTGGGCAAGGCAGAAATGGACGTGCAGGAAATCCGTTCTGAGCCTTATGTCTTAAACATCCCCACCGGACACAACATTTGTAACTAGCTAGATGGAGCTTACAGAGAATATTTGTGTTTTGCTAGTAAGTAGTTTGCATGCACCATGACAGCTAACGTTAGCGTAACAAGCTTACAACCACTATAGTAACCCTAACTACTGTATCTGGATCCGAATTGTGTCCGCCTCTGTCATGTTTCTGAGAGGATTATTGCTCAAGAGCACAATTGCCGTTCACATTCTACGCCCCACCTACCCAAACTCGTGATTTGTTGGTAGAGTTGTCTGTCTGAAGAGCACTCTCCCCAGATTTTTTTGTTCTCCCCTTTTGAAGTTACCGAGAAATTCCCCCATGTTCCCCAGACCTAATGCTGTTGCTCTAGGTCTGCGATTTTCGAGACTATGAAAGAATATATTCAGTAAAAGGTACTAGCGACTGTGTGTGTGGCACACTCATACATTTTCCATGACTCTGTGACTGGTCCTGCCTCACTAGATGGAGTGATCAATATTACTGATTATATCACACAGAGAAACTCTCTAATAAACACTCAGGCATTCACCAGACAGCCCTGCCCTCAGGACCTGTCTCTCTCTCCATCTCCCTCTCTCTTTCCTTAATGCAGTAAAAAACAATGGCCAAAACAACACAATATGCACGCACAAACTCACACACAGTGTCTATATTAGCCAAATTAAATCCCAGCGTGCGTTGTACTGGAGGTAATTGATACATTTTTCTGTTCAGAGAAATTATAAACAACCCTGAGAGAGCGAGAGAGAGAAGGCGAGATGCTGCCAATGCTGTAGTAATAGACTCTCTGCAACAACAGCCCTTTACTTAATGTATCTTTCTCTCAGTCTCTCCCAGTGTTTTAGCAGAATAAAAGGTTAGAGTGAGACCGTGTGTTCTAACGTTCTGTTGAGTTCCCCTCTGATGTCATATCCTGTCCTCTCTGATGTCCTGTCCCCTCTGATGTCATGTCCTGTCTCTCCAGGAGGGCCAGGCGGCTGCTGTCACGGTCCCAGCTGAGGCGCGCCTGTCGACAGCCCTGTGAGCAGATCACCCTGCGCAAGGCCTCCCAGGCACTACCACAGGGGCCGCTACTCGCCCCTCCACACCCCCACCCCAGCCTCAGGATGAGGGGACCCATCGTTATCCACGACTGACCACTGACCCCTGACCTCTGACCCTATCTCCCTCCCATGCCTGTCACCTGCCAATGCTCTACATGCAAGACCCCAACCCTAGTTTCACCTGGCCCCCGACCCCCTGCCCTCCCCATCGCCCCCTTAAAAAAAAAAATATCTGACCCTTCACCTCGGGAGGAAGTGATGTGCTATGTTGCTGTGGGGAAAGAAAGTGGTTCCCACCTGTACAGATTAAACTTCCCTGGGACAGAAACCTGTGTGTGCGTGTGAGAATGTATGTGGTTAAGCGCAAGTGTGCACGAGTGTGAGAACTTGATGTTTTTTCTTCTTCTTCTGTACCTGCTACATGCCAGTGAGTGGTGGTTGTGAGCTATAAATATACAGTATATACAGTACCAGTCAAAAGTTTGGACACACCTACTCATTCCAGGGTTTTTCTTTATTTTTTACAATTTTCTACATTGTAGAATAATAGTGAAGACATCAAAACTATGAAATAACACATATGGAATAATGTAGTAACCAAAAAAGTGTTAAACAAATTTGAGATTTGAGATTCTTCACAGTAGCCACACTTTGCCTTGATGACAGCTTTGCACACTCTTGGCATTCTCTCAACCAGCTCCATGAGGTAGTTACCTGGAATGCATTTCAATTAACAGCTGTGCCTGTAAAAGTTAATTTGTGGAATTTATTTCCTTCTTAATGCGTTTGAGACAATCAGTTTTGTTGTGAGAAGGTAGGGGGGGTATACAGAAGATAGCCCTATTTGGTAAAAGACCAAGTCCATATTATGGCAAGAACAGCTCAAATAAGCAAAGAGAAACGACAGTCCATCATTACTTGAAGACATGATGGTCAGTCAATCTGGAAAATATCAGGAACTTTTAAAGTTTCTTCAAGTGCAGTCTCAAAAACCATCAAGCGTGATGATGGAACTGGCTCTCTTGAGGACCGCACAGGAAAGGAAGACCCAGAGTTACCTCTGCTGCAGAGGATAAGTTCATTAGAGTTAACTGCACCTTAGATTGCAGCCCAAATAAATGCTTCACAGAGTTCAAGTAACAGACACATCTCAACATCAACTGTTCAGAGGAGACTGCGTGAATCAGGCCTTCATAGTCGAATTGCTGCAAAGAGACCACTACTTAAGGACCCCAATAAGAAGAAAATAATTGCTTGGGCTAAGAAACACGAGCAATGGACATAAGACCGGTGCAAATATGTCCTTTGGTCTGATGAGTCCAAATTATAGATTTTAGGTTCCAACCGCTGTGTATTTGTGAGATGCAGAGTAGGTGAACAGATGATCTCCGCATGTGTGGTTCTCACCGTGAAGCATAGAGGTGAAGGTGTGATGGTGTGAGGGTGCTTTGCTGGTGACACTGTTGGTGATTTATTTCAAGGCACACTTAACCAGCATGGCTACCACAGCATTCTGCAGCGATACGCCATCCCATCTGGTTTGCGCTTAGTGGGACTACCATTTGTTTTTCAACAGGACAATGACCCATAACACACCTCCAGGCTGTGTAAGGGCTATTTGACCAAGAAGGAGGGTGATGGAGTGCTGCATCAGATGACCTGGCCTCCACAATAATAATAATAATAAAATCACACAATTACCCGACCTCAACCCAATTGAGATGGTTTGGGATGAGTTGGACCGCAGAATGAAGGAAAAGCTGCCAAAAAGTGCTCAGCATATGTGGGAACTCCTTCAAGACCGTTGGAAAAGCATTCCTCATTAAGCTGGTTGAGAGAATGCCAACAGTGTGCAAAGCTGTCATCAAGGCAAAGGGTGGCTACTTTGAAGAATCTGAAATCTGAAATATATGTTATTTGTTTAAAATGTTTTGGTTACTACATGATTCCATATGTGTTATTTCATAGTTTTGATGTCTTCACTATTATTCTACAATGTAGAAAATAGTAAAAATAAAGAAAAACCGTTGAATGAGTAGGTGTGTCCAAACTTTTCACTGGTACTGTATATACAGTGCATTCGGAAAGTATTCAGACCCCTTGACTTTTTCCACATTTTGTTACGTTACAGCCTTATTCTAAAATAGATTCAATAAATACAAATCCTCATCAATCTACACACAATAGCCCATAATGACAAAGTGAAAACAGGTTTTTAGAAATGTTTGCAACTGTATTAAAAATATAAAACAGAAATACCTTATTTACATAAGCATTCAGACCCTTTGCTATGAGACTCGAAATTGAGCTCAGGTGCATCCTGTTTCCATTGATCATCCTTGAGATGTTTCTACAACTTGATTGGAGTCCACCTGTGGTAAATTCAATTGATTGAACATGATTTGGAAAGGCACACACCTGTCTATATAAGGTCCCACAGTTGACAGTGCATGTCAGAGCAAAAACCAAGCCATGAGGTCGAAGGAATTGTCCGTAGAGCTCCGAGACAGGATTGTGTCGAGGAACGGATCTGGGAAGGGTACCAAAACATTTCTGCAGCATTGAATGTCCCCAAGCACACAGTGGCCTCCATCATTCTTAAATGGAAGAAGTTTGGAACCACCAAGACTCTTCCTGGAGTTGGCCGCCCAGCCAAACTGAGCAATCAGGGGAGAAGAGCCTTGGTCAGGGAGGTGACCAAGAATCCGATGGTCACTCTGACAGAGCTCCAGAGTTCCTCTGTGGAGATGGGTGAATCTTCCAGAAGGACAACCATCTCTGCAGCACTCCACCAATCAGGCATTTAAAGTAGAGTGGCCAGATGGAAGCGGTTTCTCAGTAAATGGCACATGACAGCCCGCTTGGAGTTTGCCAAAAGGCATCTAAAGGACTCTCAGACCATGAGAAACAAGATTCTCTGGTCTGTTGAAACAAAGATTGAACTCTTTGGCCTGAATGTCAAGCGTCACGTCTGGAAGAAACCTGGCACCATCCCTACGGTGAAGCATGGTGGTGGCAGCATCATGCTGTGGGGATGTTCTTCAGCGGCAGGGACTGGGAGACTAGTCAGGATCAAGGGAAAGATGAACAGAGCAAAGTACAGAGAGATCCTTGATGAAAACCTGCTCCAGAGCACTCACGACCTCAGACTGGGCGAGGGTTCACCTTCCAACAGGACAACGACCCTAAGCACACAGCCAAGACAACGCAGGAGTGGCTTCGGGACAAGTCTCTGAATGTCCTTGAGTGGCCGGACTTCGACCTGATTGAACATCTCTGGAGAGACCTGAAAATAGCTGTGCAGCGACGCTCCCACATTCAACCTGACAGAGCTTGAGAGGATCTGCAGAGAAGAATGGGAGAAACTCCCCAAATACAGGTGCGGCAAGCTTGTAGCATCATACCCAGGAAGACTCAAGGCTGTAATCCCTGCCAAAGGTGCTTCAACAAATTATTGAGTAAAGGGTCTTGAATACTTATGTAAATGTAATATTTCCGTTTTTTTATTTTATACATTTGCTAGAATTTCTAAAAACCTGCGTTTGCTTTGTCATTATGGGGTATTGTGTGTAGATTGATTAAGGAAAAAAACGATTTAATCATTTTTAGAATATGGCTATAAATGTGGAAATAGTCAAGGGGTCTGAATACTTCCGAATTCACTGCATATTTTCTTCGTTTGGCTCTATACTTCGAAGGTTTGAATGAAAAGATTACCATGGGGTTAAAGTGCAGACTGTCAGCTTTAATTTGAAAGTATTTTCATCCATATAGGGTGAACCACTTAGAAATTACAGCACTTTTTGTACACAGTTCCCCCCATTTTATGGGAGCAAAAGTATTGGGACAAATTCACTTATGTGTATTAAAATAGTAAAAAGTTATGTATTTGGTCCCATATTCATAGCACGCAATGACTACATCAAGCTTGTGACTCCACAAATTTGTTGGATGCATTTGCTGTTTTTTTGGTTGTGTTTCAGATTATTATATCCTCAATATAAATGAATGGTAAATAATGTATTGTGTCATTTTGGAGTCACTTTTATTGTAAATAAGAATAGAATATGTTTCTAAACATTTCTTCATGAATGTGGATGCTACCATAAACTGACTTTCTCACTCATTCACGAATGTGTAGAGTCACAAGCTTGATGTAGTGCTATGAATATGGGACCAAATGCTTAACTTTTTACTGCTTTAGTACACATATAGTACCACTCAAAAGTTTGGACACACCTACTCATTCAATAGTTTTTCTTTATTGTTACTATTTTCTACATTGTAGAATAATAGTGAAGACATCAAAACTATGAAATAACACATATGGAAATATGTAGTAACCAAAAAAGTGTTAAATAAATCCAATATATTTTATATTTCAGATTCTTCATATAGCCTTGATGACAGCTTTGCACACTCTTGGCATTCTCTCAACCAGCTTCACCTGGAATGCTTTTCCAACCGTTTTGAAGGAGTTCCCACATTTTCTGAGCACTTGTTGGCTGCTTTTCCTTCACTCTGCGGTCCGACTCATCCCAAACCATCTCAATTTGGTTGAGGTCGGGGGATTGTGGAGGCCAGGTCATCTGATGCAGCATTCCATCACTCTCCTTCTTGGTAAATAGCCTTTACACAGCCTGGAGGTGTGTTGGGTCATTGTCCTATTGAAAAACAATTGATAGTCCCACTAAGCCCTAACCAGATGGGATGGCCTATCACTGCAGAATGTGTGGTAGCCATGCTGGTTAAGTGTGCCTTGAGTTCTAAATAAATCACAGACAGTATCACAAGCAAAGCACCCCCACACCATAACACTTCCTCCTCCATGCTTTACGGTGGGAACTACACATGCAGAGATCATCCATTCACCCACACGCGTCTCACAAAGACACGGCGGTTGGAACCAAAAATCTCAACTTTGGACTCCAGACCAAAGGACAAATTTTCATCAGTCTAATGTCCATTGCTCATGTTTCTTGGCCCAAACAGGTCTCTTCTTCTTATTGGTGTCCTTTAGTAGTGGTTTCTTTGCAGCAATTCGACCATGAAGGCCTGATTCATACAATTCCCTCTGAACAGATGTTGAGATG